GTCACTGATACCTCTTTTACCACTGCCATTTGTTATGCCTCTGTCCTCTTATCCGAAACAGTGCCTTTGATGAAGGACGATCAAGGGGCCGGGTTAGGGTTACGTGTGTAGGTCAGGGATGCCCCGTGGCCCGAGGTTGAGACCGGCACTAGCCGGGATGGGGCCTTGAACCGCACCAAGCTGGGTGCGGGCTGCCGCGAGCGTCATTGCATGCGATCCGACAAGCGAACGCCGTCCCTTTTCTCCCCTTCCAAACCGCCATTGAGACGCAGGACCTCGACATGTCAGCTCTACGGATATTGGTGCCCGTCAAGCGGGTAATTGACTATGCGGTAAGCTTGCGGTGCCCTTTCTGAACCCCCCTCCAATTGTGACAGAAGCTTTACCCCTCCGGTCTGCGATCCGTCACATGCTGGAGCATTTACTGATGCGAATTGTCTCCCCACGCAGGTCAAGCCCCGCGTGAACAAGGCGCAAACCGCCGTCGAGACGGCTGGCGTCAAGCACAGCATGAACCCCTTCGACGAGCTCTCTGTCGAAGAAAGCGTGCGGATCCGCGAGAAGAAGCGAGCCCCCGGCGGCGTCGAGGACATTTGCGTCATCAGCGCCGGACCCCCCAAGGCGCAGGACATCTTGCGGACGGCCATGGCCATGGGCGCCGACCGCGCCATCCACGTCGAGGTCAAGGAGGGCGAGGACCTGGAGCCCTTGAGCGTCGCCAAGCTACTCAAGGCCGCCGCTGAGCAGCACAAGAGCAACTTGGTGATCTTGGGCAAGCAGAGCATTGACGACGATGCCAACCAGACGGGCCAGATGCTGGCTGGTCTGCTGGGGTGGCCGCAGGCGACGCAGGCGAGCGAGGTCAAGTTTGGGGCGAACGACACGGTTGATGTCACCCGCGAGGTGGACGGCGGCGTGGAGACGGTGCGCGCGAAGCTGCCTATGGTTATTACTACCGATTTGCGCCTGAACGAGCCCCGGTATGCGAGCTTGCCGAATATTATGAAGGCTAAGAAGAAGCCGCTGGAGAAGAAGACGCTGGCGGATTATGGGATTACGGGGGAGAAGAGGCTGAAGGTTTTGAAGGTTACTGGTGAGTCCATTATACTTTCCACACAATCTGTGTTGATACGCAGAGAGGGAATGAATGTTGTGTTACATGCAGAAGAAGGATGAAGCTAATTCGTGATACAGAACCACCCACAAGACAAGGCGGCGGCAAGGTTGAGGACGTTGACGGTCTCATCTCCAAGCTCAAGGAACTGGGTGCTCTCTAAAGGTCCGGTAACGATGTATCAATTGCTTTAAATGCGTTTGTACAACAAGTTATCTGCAGGTTGCCATTTTCACAGCACATAGAATAAACTGCAGCTATGCATGCAATCAATCAAGCGTTGAATCTGGATTGTTTGGACAGCAACTCGAGCGTCTCACCCCCTTCCTTATCTCCAGATGAGGGACCCAAGCCCGAAGATCTCCCACTGGGTGACGAACGGTGATAGCAATCAACACAGCGTGGGATGGAGACGTCAACACCCCGCACTTTTGTACGGCACTCTCTCTGCTCTGTGACGTAGCTTTGTCCCTCCATTATTATCTATCACCCCTTACCCATGACAACAGGAAGATTGATTTTAGAGAAACTGATGGAAGTGAAGTGCCTTATGTCCGGTTGATGGTTTTACCAGCTCCTCGGTCGAGTCATCGTCAAAACAGAAGCTCATGGGTATATCCCTGCCGGCTCCAAGACTAAAACCAATTTTGACTCGTCCTGTCGTCCATGCCCTTTGCCGGCGTCCAGCGTCCGAACTCCGCAGTGATTCAAAGGCAGTGACAGCAGCGGAAGACGCCGCTAAGTCGAAATAAGGGAGGGCAAAATGCGGGAAAAGCGGAAAGCTGGCAGACTGCCCCGCCCCGTCCGTCTATCGGCTCCGAGGACAAGCAATTCTCATGCACAGTCTAAATCATTGATTGGTGTTGTTAAGGTAGTGGACCAATGAAGATCTCGCCAATTGGCTTGTAAAAAAAATCTTTGGAACCCGAATGACAAAAGCCGCTTGGTTTTTTTTTTTTTTTTCTCGCTTCCCGCTCTCGCCTTCGACTCTTTCTGATTCCGTTTCCATCATCATCCACAATTGTGTTGAAGCATTTTATCGCGTCGCCCACGCTTATTCGCAACAACCCCCCCCCCCTTCGCAGCTTTCTGCGATACAACACCCCCTTCGAATTGATACTCTGACAACTGCGCTGATGAACGGCCGCCCTTCCGAGTTCACTTCTCAGGTATGATGCTTTGTTCATTTTCTCTGTTATCAATTTCCAATTGGGTGAAACAAGAGTCACAACCCCGCTGTCCACCACTGCATTGTCGTCGTGTCTCCCTCACAGTTGTTTCCCCCACGTCACAGTGCCCTTCCTCTCAACAGAACCCACGATGCTTTCATGGACGAGAGAAACGGATGGAGCCCACCCCTGAGATCCCAATTGCTGCTTTTCCCGATCTTGCGAGCGTTTTCATTATCAAATTGCCGTCTCTAGAAAGCAGCAGCTAACATGCTTGTTGTGTCTTAGGATTATCTCTCAGGTCCGCTTCTCTACCGGGATATGGCTTGACTCACCGCTTCGTACTGACTAGAATTTTAGACCATCTGTGGAGAGCCCTGTCCGCTTAAGATCACCACGTCCGCACTAGACACTTACCCGTTTTCAATCTTTCTATACCACTCTGGCAGTCAACATCATGTTCACTCGCTTGGCTACTCGTATCCCCAAGGCTGCGGGCCTCGCTGCCCCCAATGCCGCCCGCCTCTCCGGCCAGGTCCGCAACGCCAGCCGGGTTGCCGTAGACGGAAGCAGGGGCAGGTCTATGCCCCCCGGCGATAAGAGAGCCACTGCTGCCGCTAGCGGTGTCGAGGCTACCTTCACCATCAGAGTGCGTTTCCCGCTTCGCTTCAGCCTCGTTTGTATTCTCCCCAGAGGCTAACCCCCTACTCTATAGGATGGTCCCGTGTTCCAAGGTACGGCCTTCGGCGCCGACACCAACATCTCTGGAGAGGCTGTGTTCACCACCTCTCTCGTGGGCTATCCCGAGTCCATGACCGACCCCTCCTACCGCGGTCAGATCCTGGTCTTCACCCAGCCCCTGATCGGCAACTATGGCGTGCCTTCCAACGAGCGCGATGAGTTCAACCTCCTCAAGTACTTCGAGTCGCCTCACATCCAGTGCGCTGGTGTCGTCGTTGCCGATGTGGCTTTGCAGTACAGCCATTGGACCGCTGTCGAGAGTCTGAGCGAGTGGTGCGCCCGCGAGGGTGTTCCCGCCATCTCTGGTGTCGACACCCGTGCCATCGTTACCTACCTCCGTGAGCAGGGTTCGTCCCTTGCTAGAATCACCGTTGGTAACGAGTACGATGCCGACGAGGACGAGGGCTTCATCGACCCCGGCCAGATCAACCTTGTCAAGCGAGTGAGCACCAAGGCTCCTTTCGTCGTTGCCAACCCCAACGCCGAGTTCCATATTGCTCTTATCGACTGCGGTGTGAAGGAGAACATCCTTCGCAGCTTGGTCAGCCGCGGTGCTTCCGTCACCGTTTTCCCCTACAACTACCCCATCCACAAGGTTGCCGACAACTTTGACGGTGTCTTCATCTCCAACGGCCCCGGTGACCCGACCCATTGCCAGGAGACAGTCTACAACCTTGGCCGTCTGATGGAGACCTCCTCCGTCCCCATCATGGGTATCTGCCTTGGCCATCAGCTTCTCGCTCTGGCTGTTGGCGCCCGCACCATCAAGCTCAAGTACGGCAACCGTGCGCACAACATCCCGGCTCTTGACTTGACCACCGGCCAGTGCCATATCACCAGCCAGAACCACGGCTACGCCGTTGACACCAGCACTCTCCCCAGCGACTTCAAGGAGTATTTTGTCAACCTCAACGACGGCTCCAACGAGGGTATGATGCACAAGACCCGCCCCATCTTCTCGACTCAGTTCCACCCCGAGGCCAAGGGCGGCCCCATGGACAGCTCCTACCTGTTCGACAAGTACCTCAACAACGTCAAAATGTTCAAGGACAGCGCCAAGGTTTACCGTGACAACAGGCCGTCGCAGCTCATGCTTGACATTCTCAGCAAGGAGCGCGTCGGCGTTGAGCCCACCAAGCTTGCCAATGCTGCGTAAAAGCGAAAGTGCTCGGTTTTTCTTTGCTCTTGTCTCTTGAATGATGCATATGATCTTTGGTCGGTTTGCTTTAGGGGTTCTATGGGGGTTCAAATAATAAATAAGCGTCTGGGTTTTTGGTTTTGGAATGATAGGATAGGGATATAAATAGTAAAATATCATTATTCTGCAATGTCACTTCGAAGTGATGCTTGATTGTGCTGTTTTCTGTTAAAAGTCTTTCAGAGGATGTTTCTTGCCTGATAAGTGTTTGTTCATTACTGGGTCTGGACTTGGTGTATACCTGTGAACTTGACACAAGCGGCCCAAACCTGCTGTGTTTCTGAACAAGAGATCAGGTCGTGGGTCGAAACCCCCTTTTCTGCCTGGTGCTAAGTTGCAAATTGACACCTACAAGCTACTGTGAGCTGAATGTTGACGCACACCATTTGCTACGGGGCGTAACGTCTCAACTTTCAAGTAAATAAATGGATATGACTGGCCTATCTAACAAGAGTGCGAGAATGCAACGCAAAAAGGGACGAAAAATATACAAGATGTCACACAGGAAGAGACGAAAAGTTTTTGAGTTTCAAGACTTGGAACACAAAACTGATATATGAAGATAACAAGGCGTGGAGAGAGTGTCCAAGACTTCAAGTCTTTGGACCCGAAAGAAAAGGGGTTCAAGAAGTGGTGATCAGAGGGGACATGGACAAACGACGTCAACACAAAACAGCAGCACGATGCAGAAGTAAATAAGACACAGCATAGCAAAAGGATAGATAGAAATACAAAAAAAAAGACTGGCAAAAAGAAAAGAAAAAAGCAAAAGTCAATTCGTCACCTGCAGGATTCGAACCTACGCTTCCGAAGAAACGCCCTGATTAGCTAGGTGATCTAAGCAGTCCGAAGGATGCAAGAGAGTATAGCAGGGGCGCGCCTTAACCACTCGGCCAAAGTGACTTGTTTGAACTGTATTCGTTGAGAATTCTGTAATGGATCTCTGCTACTTATCTTTGGGCTTCAACAAGCGGGGTGTATTGTGGATGACTGGATGTGGTTGGTGGTGGTTGAGTGGCTGGGTGAATCCACTTGATACGGAGTTAGGGAGGGGGTGGATGACTCCAGAGTTGCGAGTCCGGTGGGTGGGTGAGAAATGATGATGATGGGTATGACTTTTGCTGTTCGGTAATGGTATGACATGGCACACTCACTTGTTCCCAGGACGCGATAGGTGAGACTGACATTGCAATGCGAACCTCTCCGTTACCACGAAATGGGGAGCCGGATACAGAAGGATCAATAGATCAAGAAAGGCAACAGTTCTTGATTTTATATCATGTTTTTGGCTTTTATATTTTTCTTATTCTTCGGGTATCTTTTCGACAATTCGATATCTTGTATCTATTCTTGTACAATTCTTGGGAGCCTGTACTGTCCCGTTGTTTGCTGCTCTTCACGCAAACGGAGCAAAGCAGCGCAAACAATCATTTGGTAAGCATGTGCCTGCCTACCCTTTTTCAACTCGGGCATCTCGTTGGCTAGACCTCTTCCTCTTTCCTTCATCTTTCATCCTATGCTCCGTTTTATATATGCGCTTTGGGCAAAATTCGTGTGGTCGATCGAGTCGTTACTCTATCGCCTCCCAAGTTAGTTATCATACAGGCTTCCACCTATCCTTACAAAGCCAGTCTCATCCCATATCGAGGCGGCCAAGGGGGTTTCTGTCTCTGGCAATCAGCGCAAATCGAGCTCCGGTCACTTTCCGGACGAGATCCCAGCACAGACGAACTTCCGGGCAAGACTGGCATCGATCCCTAAACTTGGGATGAGATTAGCGCCGCGAACGACGAGAGCGGCCATGGTTGCGGCTGGAACCGGGGTACTCCTCAAGGGGCAGACCGGTAAGCCTGGACCGGAGGATGCCATCATTTGGAGCGCCTCGATCGGACCGGTAGTCGTCGCGGCCAGAACGCATGTCATCACGACCAGAGCGGTACTCGTCTCGTCCAGAACGGTGTTCGTCACGTCCGGAGCGATACTCGTCATTTCGCTGTCGGCTCCTGGATCGGTCATGACGACTACGGCCACCACCATCGTATCGGTCGTCGTAACGATCACCATGGCGGCGATCTCGGCCAGGCTGCCGGCGAAGCGGGGAAGCGACACGCCGAGGGGAAGGAGAACGGCGCGGGCGGTAGTCATCCCCACGCGCGAGTTGACGCCGACGCTCTGCTTCACGGTGCGGGGGCCGAATGCCAACAAAGTTCTCCTTACCGCGGTCAACGAATTTCACCGAGTGCTCGAACGTGTAGCGATTAATCTCCTCAGGGCGGCCCAAATCCCGATGACGATCTCTCGTGTAATAAGACCGAATCCTTTGAATGCGCTGGTTCGCAAGCGCCTCGGAAACAGGCTGCCAGGTAATAGGCGGGCCCGTTGTTGTAACTCTTGGCTCCGCAAGATCAAGGTTGCTAGCTGTCTGGCCACGCCTATTGCGACGGCGAGGGCCTAGAGGTACCTCCTGGTCGACTGAAAAGCTACCGGGAATTGCCGTGGGAACCGGCGGGGGAGCAAGCGGTTGCTGCTGAAAGCTCGGGGCGGCCGCTGTCTCGTTCTCAAGTACGTGTCTCGCTACGACATCCTGAAGCTCCGGATCGGTCTCGTATACCACGCCCCAGCGTGATGTTCGACTCTCGCTCGACCTCTCGCGCTGAACCCAATCAGTAATTGTCTCTGCAGGAATGAAGTCAACCCAAAGCTGCTTTCTGTTACGCTCATTGGGCCACACTCTTCCATGTAGAGCATTCCGAACCCGCGCAGCTGCCGAAATGCTGTCGAAACTAACAAAAGCATGCGTGCGAATAGAGTCGAGATAAAACTCATGGATGCAGTAATAGTCGGATGCGCGGCCCGGAGGTGTGGCAAGCTCGCAAAGGTGATCACGCAATTCGGCGTCACGCAGAGGTCTCATGAAATTCTTGATATATAAGGCAGACGTTGCGGGGTGCTGTGATCGCTCGACTTGTCCAGACTCGTATGTCTCGTACTGTTCCTGGCGAGCAACGTCAATGTCGTGCTGGGGCGCTGCCACCCGATTCTCTTCGAAACCATGATCACCTCTGATATCTTCCATTCTGTAGTCATCTCCATCATCTCGGTCAATCGCGGGTGTCGGCTCGGCTTCGGCAGGATCGGTCCCAATTGGCTCTTCAACATAAGTAGTCTCGGTTTGAGCGACCTCAGCGTTGACGGTCTCATGGTCATTTCGTGCGCGCTTCGCAGCAGACTCTTCGCCTTCGGGTGGCGGGCTTCTAGAGCGCCGCTTTCGGCTCACGATGTCTTCAACAATCTCTGTAGCCATGGCGATATCGTTGTCCACATCCTTGATGTCGGTCTCGACAACCGGGGTAGGCGGCGAATCTTGGGCCATGGAAGCGGCGACGTCGGGGCCGGGACGGACGGAGGGGGCGGTGGAGATCTCAGCGCTCTCTTCCAGGTTAGAAGGTGCTAAAGCTGGGATCTCTGGGTGGGCCTCAACGGTCGAAGTCTCTGGTTGCGCCTCTGTTTGCGCAGAAACTGTAAAATCAGCCTGCGCGGAAGTCGCAATATCGGGATGGGTTGAAGTTGCGGTGGTATTTGCTTGAGCAGAAACTGTGATATCCGACGGTTCAGAAGTTGTAACCTCTGGGGGGATGGATACGGTGATATCTGTTTGCGCGGGAGTTGCAAGTTTGTGATCGGAAGAGGTGGAGGGAGAAGCTGTGGTTTCTGGCTGCGTCGAGGTCACACCATCCTGCGAGGTAGAAGTCGCAACATCTTCTTTCTCGAGCGGGGCACCGTCAACCGGACCCGCGTCTACCAACATAGTATCCCCAGCAGCCTCCGCATTTCCCTTCTCCGCAACCAATGTCTTCTCATCGTGGGGGGCACTGGATTCGTCGGCAGGGCGACTTGCAGCCTTCTCTTGTTCGTAGGTGACTATTCGTGCGATGAGCTCCTGCTTTTTGCCATTTTGTGGTAACCCTCTCTCTTTCAACTCTTTACGCAGCATCAACACAGTCATGCCATTGAGTTCGGCCTCCATTTTGAACGATGCGGGTGGTTGAAAACTAGATGTTCAGAACGAGCATCTTACGCAGTTGGGCGAAAAAAATAAATAGAGGGGATCACCAGAGTCGCAACGCGATAAAGTTCACCAGCTTCGCCTCCAATTCAAAGCTCTTTACCCCACTACCCGTCATGGTTAGCGTGGTTCTGCAATGACGCTAAACCTGGGTTTGCATGGATGTATCAGTGTCACGTGCGACCACCATGTGAAGAATGTGTACCCTTTCCCCCGCACGCCCCCCTCATATGAAGACAAACGGACAGACGAGACAGGGCAGGGCAGCAGGCATGTTGTTGGAACAGTGATGAAAAGACCATCTGGGGCTCTGGGCCAGATACCTGGTACTTATAACCGCTCTCTTACGAAGTACCTGGCTTGGTCAAGGGGATGACCAACTCAAAGACGAAGACCATCAAGGGAGGGCATTCGCAATGCCCTGTTCTTGTGTTTGTTTCTTTCTGTTAAAATGCCTATGGACATTTAAAGCCGTTCTTCGTGTTGGGTAATACACATAAAGCCATCATATTCGTCAAGTCAAGACTCTGAGCTGCCCTACCCAAATCCCATCAAATCGGGTTAGTGAAGTTGATGCCAAACTTTCCAACATTCCAGACAAAGTTGACAAGCAGAATTGGGCTGCGAAGCATTCACTCGCTGCCCGATGACCAGTGTCACCCAGATCCCTTACACCTAATTTGGCCAATGGAACTCATACAGCGATGCGCTCCAAGCATCTTTCGGCAGGAACAACTGAGGATCTGATGCAGGAGATTGAAGTTGAGGTGTACGCGACAGGACTTGCCCACCTTTGTGCTCACTGTCGACTGGTTCTCGCCATACCACCATGACCGGGATATTTTGACACCTGACAATCTGATTCAGCTTCCCTCGTTCCGGCAGGTCGGGCCATGGCCAATGACATGGAGGGCAGTGACAAGTGAAATACCGTTGCCGTATCCAGGAAGAAGGTAGCGGCTGCGCTGGACCTGGAGGTTTCTTTGACGACTGCTTTCGGCCTCCAAACAAACCCATAGTTCATCCCTCGCCTCACTGGACGGAAGAGGAAATTCACACCCCAGAATTCTTCTCGGTTCTTTTCTTTCACTTGATCCATTCCATGAAGCGCTCTCTCTTTTCTTTCTATCTTCCGTGCCCGTTTGCCACCAATCCAGTAATCTGAAAACACCCGCGGCGACCTCGTGGAAAATTCCTAGACCCAACATCGCCAACTAACCCTCAACAGCGGTCTTGCCATTTTTGGGACTCGTCTTGATCAAACGATTTGAAAACTCCAGGGAAGAAAAATTAAGAGAGCATAATATCGCTAGTCATGGAATTCCCAAAAACACCCCAAGCGCAACAGCCAAAACGATCAGTGGCCAAAGTCGTCTCTTGGTTCGAAACATTTCAAGGCTCAGGACCTCCTCCACTGAGTCCGCCAGATACGGTCAGAAACATAGCAAGACAAGACCGCGACTATGATCTCCAACACACCATTCAACAAGACGTGGAACGCAGCTTCGAGCAGAGCCGGGATGTCATCGTAGACGAGCGCCCAGAGCCTGACTCTGAGAGTGAGGAGGACCAAGATGAGCAAGAAGTGGACCCGACCTCCCAGAGGCGAATAGCTGGAATCAGACAAAGGCTCAAGGCCTTGGGGAAGATTGACTATGGAGGGTTGGGACCTATCGACGACGACTACGACAAGGAGAGCACTAGTAGTGACTGGGATAACTACAAGACCACCCCACTACTCATAGGAGAGTACGAGGAGGTAGCGCACCGCCTGGAAGGCTATGACGATTGGAATGAGGACCAGAGAAGACTACACAGGCTGATATACATGCGCGGT